AGTCCTTGGGGGACATATTCCAGTCCCCTGATATAATAAAGGGGGTGGATATGGTCTTCATGACTGCTGCCACCTGCATCAGCAACTGGGCATTGCGATCCTCAGCGCCTTCCCCCGTGTGTAAGTAGACATTGGCCCAAGGGATACCTGGATCCACGACCCCATGCCATAGCTTCAGGATAAATCTCTCTGGGGGGGGCATGACAACAATCGGATCCAATACAACTTCAGAGAAGGACCTGGCATACTGCGAGACAAGGCCCACTCCTGAACTCAATCCACCTTTCTGAGTACTAATTGAGGGGTGGGGGTGCGCATGGAACCCATGCTTGTGAGCACGGTTGACTGCGAACTCGATAGCCTCTTCAGTACGACAGAGTTCTTGAAAACCGACAGCATCAAACCGATCAGAATAGGCCTCCAGGAAAATATCGGCATTGGACCAGGAGGTGACGTTCACAGTAACGATGACCCAGTCCCGACGAGGCTTCTGAACGAAGGCTGACTTGTCGGGCGGGGTCTGCGATGTGCTAAAGGTCAGACGGGCCCATGGGATTGGAGCCCTCCACCACAGCTGGGGTGTCGGCGGGGCCAGCGGTGGCGGCAGCCGACGGCGAAAACCTTCCTGACTGTCCCGGCTGATCAACTGCAACATCAGGGGCATGAGCAGGACGTTTCGGCGCAGGCGGCAGTGAGGAAGAGGTGCGGGGAGGAGCCCTGGCAACGCGTGTTGGGGAACCTTGCTGGTCGACAGACATCCTGGGTTCCTCAGACTGAGACCGAGGCTCTCTGGCAATACCAACAGGAGCATAGCCAGACATAACGATACCCTGGAGGTCACGCAACGCCTGAGCAAGCTTCTTGTCTCTCTGCGCTGCCTGGGAAGCTGCGAAGACGTCCGCCACGGCAGAGAGATCTGGGGGCGTGAAACCCTCAGGACCTGGCTCACTCGACGGGAGATCCTGCAACTTAGCCTGCCACATAGCCATATCCTGAGCGACCCGCTCCTGACGAGAGCAGAGGGCGTCCCTTTCGCTCTGAAGGTCCAGGATTTTACGATCGAGCTCACGGATCTGGCTAGAGATCTTGTCAAACTTCTTACTGGCCCAGTGATGACGCTGCTTGTAGAACGCACGCTTCTGGGGGACGGTAAGCATGTCGGACTTTTGTGCTCGGAGATGCTGCAACTCGTCCTGGAGACTCGAAACCTGATCGAGAACATACCTGGTCGGCGGAAGCAGGCGGAGGGAATCCAGCTGGCCCAACAGGGCCTTGATAATCTGGTCAATCTGCGCAACCGAGAGCTCATTGCCATTGGTGTCGACACAGCCGCCATCAATGTCGTCGTCGACATAGTCAGCCCAGAAACCACGATCGCTGCCAATACCGTCGTCGCCAGAGTCAGATCCAAACCTATCCTGCACTTCATCATCCAATGGAGCCTGAAGACGTTCATCCAAAGACCGAACTGGGGGAGTGGCAGAACCGTCAACATCATGACGATCATGGAAACGAGCACGGGGAGGAGACACGATAGGCTCATTGCGCCTGCCTTTGCTCCTTCCCTTCTTTCCTTGGACCTGTCCTCTGGAGCGGCCAGGAAAAGGAGTACTGCAAAACTTGCACTTCTGGCGGGGGTTGGTGTCGGGGATCCAAGAAGTCTTGCCAGCATCGCGACAGACGAGACAGACGAGATATCCCATGGCGCGCCCCGCGCAAGGTGTGGGCGGCACACGCGCCGAAATCGTCCGAGCCTGCCGCACGGCTGCGGACAAGCTCGAAGCCTCGCGGCAAGGTTTCGAACTTGAGCCAAAATGGCTACGGACGCGGCCGACGAAAGTGGCCAAGGATGGACCGAGGAGACAAGGATGCAAAGGTACCCTTGGGAAGGTTGCCCATTCTTACTATGCGGGTTGACTGCAGGCCAGCTCCGCCGACCAAAAGAAACAAAACATCCGAGGGTGCTCTCCCCAGGATGCACGAGAGCATCCAAGAAAGTGATCGTTTTTTATTCGGCGTTTCGACATTGGGCGGAAGGGGGGGGTGATTCTTGCCTCCAGACCTCTGCTTGATGCGACTGTTTGGAACCGTGCGTCCCATGGGGGAGACTCCACCTGCTCGAAACAGTCACCAAAAACGGCCAAGATCTACTCCACGGGGCGGGGGGGGGAGGAAGGGGGGGGCGAGGGCCAGCGCCGATCAGCAAAACAATGAGGGTACCCCCTCCCCGAACCGACCTCGATCTCATGCCTCGGTCCGGCGACAGTGCCGGATGTGTGGATCTGGCGCGCGGGCGCCGCGCCCATAGATCGGGGAAGATGCCCCCCCCCCCGAAGCATGGAACGAAAAACAATGGTTGGAGGCCTGGAAATAGGCACCAACACCAAGACAGGGGGCTGCCTCCACAGGGGAGAGATGATCCTAGATTTCGGTGTTGGTGGCAATATTTCGGTCACCTTGAAGCCAGAATATTACCACCATCGCCAAGATCGGGATCTTCTTTCCTCGGTGGAGGAGCACCGCCGATATTGGTGTTGGTGTCAACCTCTAGGCCTGCGAAATGGCGTCTTATCCGGCGACGGCGCGCGCCGATCCCCGATTGAACACGGGAACTGCCAGGAACCCGCGCGCGTGAACCCACGTCTGCGGTAGGTCGGGCAAGTCCTCCTACAAGCGGATTCTGAACGAAGAATTGAACATAAAAGAAACAGAAAGCCTGAGAAATAGTCTAAACATCGTCCCCAGACCATGCTTCGAATGTGTTTGAATATTCCTCCTGTGGGGACATGTCCTACTTCACGCTTGCGCTTCTTCGATCCATGGGGCCAGCGCCCACGCCTTGTCTTCCCTCCCAGAACTCTGGCCACCCTGTGGAATCTCGCTGCCCATGCTCCTCCGTGCGTGCGAGAGGGGCCCGCCGCTCCGCCCCTTCCGACACGGCAGGCGGTGCCATATGCCCGGCCTTCCTTGCGGTGCCGACCAGACGCCGAGACGAGCAGCCCGAACCATGCTTTTTGAGAGCCCGACCCCGATTCGGCCACACGCAGGAGTAGGGACCCACCAAGGACATGCGCGCCCAGCTATGTAATGCGGGATGACGATTTTAAAAAATGGGGAAAACTATTAAAACTAGTTTTCTGCTATTTCTGAATAACTACTGACTGGAGGAGAACGATTAACAAACAAATAATTCTCCAACCCGCGGCCGGTTTTTTCTAATCGTCATCCCGGGCGCCGCCGCGTGAACACGACCCCCGGTCATTTATTAATCGTCATCCTCCATTACATGAACACGACCCCTCGACCCGCAAGACTGGCCGCGTTACACGAACATTTGCGCAATGCGCACCCTCGACACCAGCGCCTGGGCAAGCGTGGCCTCTGGTACGCAGAGTTTGGGGGGGGCCGCGGGGGGCCCAAACCTGGGCGCGCGAGCCGCTACTATCGTGTCAGTGTCGCGCTCGGCGATCGGGAGACCCCAAGTCGGAGGTGGACAACCCTCCCTCGAGTAAACCTCCCTTTCGTGAAAACGGCCCAGGACCGAAACCGACGGGCCTGGGCCCGCAAAAAGGACGGCCGCAAGGCCCTCTCGCGAACCGAAACCGGCCCATTCGCGAATCGACGTGTCAGGGCAGGAGGCCTATCCACCCCCGAGCATACTTGGGCCCGCACCAGAGGTCCGTCCGGCCAAAAGGCCACTCTGGCGCGTGGCCGGCCCGCTGGGCGCCAGACATGCCATTGACGGGATGAGGCGCAGCATGCTCCTGATGGGCCTGCTTTCCACCACCACCACCATAAGTTGGAGTGGGAGGCAGTCCTCCTCCTCCTCCTCCTCCTCTTCCTCCTCCTCGTCCTCCTCCCCTTCCTGCTTCCTCCCTCCAACCTACGGTGGTGGTGGTGGAAAGCAGGCCCAGCAGCTCCGGCTGCCGAGCCCGTCGGCATGGCCGGCGGTGGCGCCGGCTGCTCTGCTGCCTCTGGGGGGCCCGGGCGCCTGCCGAGTCGAGGTGCTGCAGAAAGCCAGGGAGACTCCAACTGGGAAAAACCACAAGTTGCAGATACCGCTGCTCCCCCGACCTCTTCCGGTCACGCTCTGACGCGCCGCTGGCCGTTGGGGTCGCGTTTCGCTCACGGGGCGCCCTACTCGCCAGCATCCACGGCCGCTGCAGCAAAGCCTGCCTCGATCGACCGCACTCCGATACACGAAGGAAAGCAGCCTGGACGTGCCTTCGGGAAGGACGGCCTGCTGCCATGTGCGCAGCGAGACGCCGTCTTGGCGCGCGCGCGCGGGCGCGCAATCGCGTGCGCGCGCATCTGCCCGTGGCCGTGTGCTGGTGCCGGTGCATCGGCGCGCGAGCCCGAGGCCCCCCCAGTCCAGCGTCCTCACCCCCATGCCTCTGGCACGAAGCCAAGAAGAGTCATTGCTTTTGTTCGGCGATAGCCTGTCGGACGTTGGCAGAACTGGGCTTCGTGGGACCTGGTTCAGTGACGTGTCCTGGGGGACGCCCCCCCCCGCCCCACTCCACTAACCAGGACTGCCGCTACCCGAAAAAAAACACGAACTACGGCAGACCTGGTTTAGTGATTCTGGGGAATTGAGGGGCTCCCAGGCCCTACTACTAACCGGGTTCCCTTACCCGGGGCTGTACCCGAATCTGGGTTATCTGGTGGGGTGGGGGGTGGGAGGGCGACGACTGATGACCGAACCTTTTCGCCCTGGGCAGCAAGCTCATCAGGAGATCCTTCGTTCGTTTACTTTGACGACGGATGCCCCGTTACGCAATGAACCCCACTGGAGACCCTCGGGAGCCTGGGTGTCACTTCTGGTTCGCCGTAGAAGTGAATTGCCTACAGGGTACACGATGAACGAATCGTGCAACCTGCGACTTCACTTTCAATGTCCACATGCCGGCAAAATAGAAACATACATAAGTGTCGCGAAACATACCTGCTGATTGACAGTGCCTCCCGCGAAGAGCGCTGACACAAGCACAAAGAGAGTCCTGCATCTGTGCTGGCGCATCCTCTCGCTGACGTCGAGGCCCGGGTTCGTCCACCACTTGATCAGATCGACAGGGGTGGTCCACGAGATCGGGATGTCCCGCATCGGCCAGTCCGTGAGGCACAGGACGGCCTGGGCGCGGAGCCTGAAAAATTAGCCTGGCGAAGAACCCAACCATAAGCAGTTGTCAGTACCGCAGCTGCGGGTTTCATCTTCAAAGGAACTCCCCATAGGACCACGGAACGTGTGAGGGGTGTGCCGAGATGGGTGCAACTGAGGCATTCGGTGAAGCTCCCTATGGGGACATGAAACACGCGCGGGGCGTGCCGACATGGGTGGCGGAAACGCATGTGAGGGCCGCCACTGGGGCCTCCAGTGGAGCTCCATATGGGTCCCCGAAACATGATGCTGCTGCGGGGGGGGTGCCGGGATGGGTGGCGGAGACGCATGTGAGCGCCGCTACTGGGGCTTTCGGTGGAGCTCCCTATGGAGCCACGAAGCGAGTAAGGGGTGTACTGGGATGCGTGGCGGGGACGCATGTGAGCGCCGCCGCTGGGGCCTTCGGTGCAGCTCCCTATGGGGCCACGAAGCGTGTGAGGGGTGTGCCGAAATGGGTGCGGGTGGTGACGCATGCGGGCGGTGCCACTGGGAACTTCGGTGGAACTCCCTATGGGGCCACGAAACCTGTTGTTGTGAGGGGCGTGCCGGGATGGGTGGCGGGGACGCATGTGAGCGCGGCCGCTGGGGCCTTCGGTGGAGCTCCCTATGGGGCCACGAAACGTGTGAGGGGTGTGCCGATTTGGGTGTGCGGGACGCATGCGGGCGGCAGCACTGGGGCCTTCGGTGGAGCTCCCTATGGGGCCACGAAACGTGTGAGGGGTGTGCCGAATTGGGTGTGCGGGACGCATGCGGGCGGCAGCACTGGGGCCTTCGGTGGAGCTCCCTATGGGGCCACGAAACGTGTGAGGGGTGTGCCGAATTGGGTGTGGGGACGCATGCGGGCGGCAGCATGGGGCCTTCGGCGGAGCTCCCTATGGGGCCACGAAGCGTGTGAGGGGTGTGCCGAAATTGGGTGTGGGGACGCATGCGGGCGGCAGCACTGGGGCCTTCGGTGGAGCTCCCTATGGGCCACGAAACGTGTGAGGGGTGTGCCGAAATGGGTGTGGGTGACGCATGCGGGCGGAGCACTGGGGCCTTCGGTGGAGCTCCCTATGGAGCCACGAAACGTGTGAGGGGTGTGCCGAAATGGGTGTGGGTGACGCATGCGGGCGCGGGCACTGGGGCCTTCGGTGGAGCTCCCTATGGAGCCACGAAACGTGTGAGGGGTGTGCCGAAATGGGTGTGCGGGACGCATGCGGGCGGCAGCACTGGGGCCTTCTGCGGAGCTCCCTATGGGGCCACGAAACGTGTGAGGGGTGTGCCGAATTGGGTTTGGGTGGCGCATGCGGGCGGCAGCACTGGGGCCTTCTGCGGAGCTCCCTATGGGGCCACGAAACGTGTGAGGGGTGTGCCGAATAAGGTGTGGGTGACGCATGCGGGCGGCAGCACTGGGGCCTTCGGTGGAGCTCCCTATGGGGCCACGAAACGTGTGAGGGGTGTGCCGAATTGGGTGTGGGTGACGCATGCGGGCGGCAGCACTGGGGCCTTCGGTGGAGCTCCCTATGGGGCCACGAAGCGTGTGAGGGGTGTGCCGAATTGGGTGTGGGTGACGCATGCGGGCGGCAGCACTGGGGCCTTCGGTGGAGCTCCCTATGGGGCCACGAAACGTGTGAGGGAAGTGCCGAATTGGGTGTGCGTGACGCATGCGGGCGGCAGCACTGGGGCCTTCGGTGTAGCTCCCTATGGGGCCACGAAACGTGTGAGGGGTGGGCCGAATTGGGTGTGGGGACGGGAGGAGGGAGGAGGGGGATGAGGAGTGACGCGGGGCGTTGTCTCTTCAAAACGAGGACCCAACACCAGTGGATGGTTGGGAACTGTGTCTCGGCGGTGGACCACCCTCCCTTGAACAAATCCCCCTTAATGAAAACGGGCTGGGACCGAAACCGACGGACCTGGACCCGCAAAGATGACGGCCGCGACGCCCTCTCGCGAACAGAAAACGGCCAATTCCTTAATCGACGTGTCAGGGTAGGAGGTCTATCCACCCCCGAATGTCTGCGGCCGACCCCAGAGGAACACAAAGAAAACATAAGCATAAACGTTGGACGGTCCGCGCCCACCATCAATGTTTGTTTTTGTTGCTCCTCCGATTTGTTCTCTTCGAGACTCGCTCCGCCCCTCCCCCCCCTCTGGCAAGAGGGGGGGGGTAACCGGGAAGTGAAGGCGTGCCACAGAGGACGTATGTCGGCGGCGACGATAGGGGCGAATAGCCCAGGGGCGGGCATTACACGCATTCGCCCAGGAGCCTCGCCGAAGACATGGGTCATCAGCGTCCTGGAAGCGTGGATTGCTCCCCCCTGAGCTATTCGCCCCTGTCGTCGCCTCCGAGGATGTGTAATTATCGGATCTCCGCCAGCGTGGGGGGGGGGCACGGCAAGGGACCAGACGAGGCAGGCCGGGTTGCAGCGGAGGCCGCTCGCGGGAACAACCATTGGGGCCCCCAGAGCATGGCTACCTAGCAGACCACCATCTCAGCATCCCAGTTTGGGATATACCCCTCGACACCCGAAGGAAACAGCCCATCTCCCATCCATCTAGGCCTCCTAGATGGAGTCGGGGTAAATGGGGTCGGAGGATCGCGGCGCATGGCCGATGCATCAACGATGCGGCTGGATGTGGGCCGCGATGTGCTTCACGCCGACGTCGCCGATGCGCCGCCGACACCCCAACCCAACCCGAAGACCCGAATTTCGGGTTGGGGGGGCTACGGGCTTCATATGTGTTTTTCCCGAATCAGTGCTTGCACTGTTTCCTGCCGATTTTGGTAGCAGGCTGGGTTCCCGGGTTCCCGGTTATTGGTTCAGGGCCGATTTCGGTGGGCTCTGGGTTCCCCGGCTGCCGGGTTCCTGGTGAATCTCCTCACCCAAAAACCATCCACTGATTGTGGTTTTTCTCTAGTGTAATTTGTTCAATGTTCCCCGAAGCCCCCCACCGGGAATGGATAGCAAATGGGGGAGGATGCTCGCGGGAGCACCCTTCGGGCCCCCAAAGCACCTCGGTGCATGAGGAGCGCAGGAGGAACCGCCACGGGAAATGACTACCTACAGACCACCCCAACCCAAATCGAAGATCCGAATTTCGGGTTGAGGAGGGCACGGGCTTCATGTGTGTGTGTGTTTTTCCAATGTTTCCTGCCCCCCCCTGGGAATGAAAGCAAATTGGGGCCTTCGGGATGGAGTGGGGTGGCCTGGTGGGTGGTGAAAATACCCTGGTGCACGAGGAGCGCAAGGGGAACAACCACGGGAGACCGTGAAGCACGGCGAGCCCCCTTCGAAGCCGGACCGCTCCTCTCCTCGGCGCCTCAACTGCCCCGTGCGTCACGGTGCGCGCCAGGTCGCGAGAGCCATCGGCACCTGCCGTGGCATCGAGGCTGTGAGTGTCCGGCCCAGTTGCCCAGGATTCACTTGCGAGTGGACGCGTTTGAAACGACGGGCCCCGTCCCCTCTGCAAACCTCCTCCCGCGAGCGGGCAGGCACCAAGACGACCCACGTGGGCACCGCAATTGGCCGCGGAGGCCCTCGGAGGACAGGGGAGGGGACCACCTGCACAGCATGGTGCAATAGAGGCCTCCTAGATGGGGTCGGAGTAGATGGGGTCGGAGGATCGCGCCGAATCGCCGATACATCGGCGATACATCGTCGATGCATCGGCGATGCATCGGCGATGCACTGGCGATGCATCGTCGACGTCGGCGATGCATCGGCGACGTCGACGTGACGCAAATCGGGCTGCACATCGAGCCACATCGGCGATGCGGCGCGATCCTCCGACCCCATCTACTCCGACCCCATCTAGGAGGCCTAGATGCAAGGCTGGGCCTGCGCAATGCTTCATGGGTGGCCGCCGGGAGGGGACTCGATCTCGAGAGGCACCCCCCCAGTGGCCAGCGTCTCCGCCGTGGCCGCGGCTGGCACCCGGCGCAGGGGGAGGAGAGGGGGGGGCAGGAGCAGAAACAGGAGCGAGGGATCAGGAGCACGAGCAGGAGGGGCAGGAGGGGCAGGAGGGCGAGGGATCAGGAGCACGAGCACGAGCAGGAGGGGCAGGAGGGGGGGACAGGAGCAAAAACAGGAGCGAGGGATCAGGAGCACGAGCAGGAGGTAACCAGCCTCGAACGTATCCCTATCCCTAAGATGGGCGAGCAAAAAGCGAGGACAATCTTAGGGATAGGCCCTCAGAAACTGAGGGAATCCTTAAGATCGGCATCGAGGTGAGGTGATGTCAAACAGAGGGATAGGGATACGTTCCAGGCTGGTAAGGAGGGGCAGGAGGCTCCCGCACCTTGAAAGCATCAAGCTGATTACTCGACTGGCGTGGTCCACGGCAGCGGATCGTCTTCACAGGACCCCGAAGCTGACAGAACCCAAACACAAACATTGTCACAACTGCTACCTGTATTGCCGTGATGTGCACATGCACTGCGCCGAGGGGCATGAATCCACTTTGCCCTACTGAGGCAACCGAGTATGTTCAAGAAGACCACAGGATGCCTCAAGCAAGTATCACCACAACAACTCTCAAAGTGGCTCGCTGGCAGTATTTCCCCGCGCAGGCCCGATTCTCTCCTTCGTGCGTTCCAAGCGACTGCCTCAACTCGCACTCCCTCCTGACCCACCCGCGGCAACCCCGCGACCTCCCTGTGGCCCGAGATGGACGACACCAACAACGCGCACCAGCGTGGCCTTCCCATCCGTCATCACGGGGACTGGAAGAGGGTCGGAGCAAGGCGAGTTGAGACACTGGCAGCCCAACAGTTCGGACTCCAGACTGCAGACCCTCCCACACAGTTCCAACGCACCAACTTCCCGAGCTGAGTCCAGCCATGGCGCCGAAGCGGCTTCCCGAATGCCAACTGCCGCCGCCTCGCATCGCCGTCCTCTTGGCAAGAGAGCCCCGAATCGAATCGATAAGTCGGATCGGCCATTGAAATGACGCGAATCGGCGGATATTGGCAGCCAAGTCGGGAGAAGCCGAATCGGCGGAAATCAGGAAATCAGTGGGCCCCCATATCGAAAACTCGGAATCCAGATCGGCACTCGAAGCCGCACCGAATCGGAACCGGAAGCCATCGAACTCGAATCGAATCGGCGCGGAGGGATCGAAACGAGCCCTGGGGGGGGGGGGGCCAGGCTGGATCGGCGCTGGACCCTTTTGGATCCGCCTCTGGCGCAGCCCCTCTGCGCGCGGAGCGCGCCAGCCAAGGGGAACCAGCGGCTATCCAAAAAACCCGCGCGGATCTCGGCGCGTTGTTTCCATGCGGCTGTTATATTCTCGAGCCGAGGACGAGCAAGTGGCTGTGGACCAGGTTGGGGAACAATGAAGGGCCGCCCGCTCCGAAACACCTCCCGAAGCCGACCCCCCGCGCCGCGCAGGCGGCCGGCTCGGGGGGGGGCGGGGGCGGCGCGCCCGCCTCCGACGCGGGCGACTCCACCTCGCGGGGGAGGCCGGGCGAGGGGGAAGTCGGGCGGGAGAAGCAGCAGGAGGGGCGAGTGTTGAGAAGGGGGCGTGGGGGTGATGGACGAGAGGGAGGCTCAGGTGGAGGAGAAAGAAGAGGGAGAGGGGGCGGGGGAGGGGGAGGGGGAGGAGGAGGAGGAAGAGGAGGATGAGGAGGAGGACTGACTGACTGACTGACCACCATGGGCTCCATCGATCTCTGACGCGACGTGCACTCTGCACCCGCTACAAATCTCAAATCAAAACTATCATTGGGCAGTCCATTTTCTGGATTGCCTGCTGATGCTGGAGCGGTGGCCCTGCTAGGTGCGGATCCCCCTTCGGGGCTGGGCCAGATGCGGCGGAGCGATGCACTACGGGATCATGTCGGCCCCAGGGCACGCTCCCACGATCTCCGACGCGCGAGGGGACCGTGTGAGGCTTTCCACGAGAGATCCCCACGAAGCGAGAGTGAAAGGGTGCACGGGAGAGCGGGAGAGAGCATAGCATCTACACCTGGTGCTACTGTAGACCGCGTGCATGTCAGCTCTGGCATCCAGCATGTTCTGTAGCCGCTACTCAGCCAGAGCGGGAGAGAGCATAGCATCTACACCTGGTGCTACTGTAGACCGCGTGCATGTCAGCTCTGGCAAAGTCCTAGCAATTCGAGAAAATTATTGTGGATGCCGCTGCCTGGCTAGATCGAAAACCCGATCGCTCTCTATCATGATTCTAAACTGTGGGGTTCCTGGCATCACCCCTCGATTAGCGAGATAGTCAGTGACCAACCGGAGCCGAGAAGGAGGAATAATACTCTGGCGTAAAGCGCTGTCCTCAGTGCGGCGGGCCGCCCGAAATACAGCGCGATCAGCTCCAGCAGCAAGCGTGGGCAGACCTGGAGTCAGCCCAGCCTCGCGATCTATTGCTTCTGCTGGAGCCGTGTGATAGTCATCAGCAGCGGTAATCGTGCCATCCCAAAATTGCAAGTCACGTGCCCGATCTGTGGGAAGACCACCACGACGTCTAGCCATAGCGATCGTCTGTGGTGCGAGCCCCTCATGGCCCACTGCACCTCTTGGAGCTCCCGCCCGAGGAAGCCCTTGACCCGCTCGCTGTGCTGCTAGCCCTCCATGGCCTCCAGCACCGCTTGGAGCTCCCGCTCGAGGAAGCTCGTGGGGGCGCGACACTGCTCCAGCTCCATCTGCTCGATGCCCTGGCACGCCTGCACGATGGTCGCTCTGAAGGTCTGGTTTCGGGAGCACATTGTTAGCTTTTTCTTGCCCTTCTGGAAAGACTTTCTCCAGCTTGCATACTAGTGCGAGCTCGCACTTCTTCTCCAGCGTGTACTCGGCATACTCGTCGTGGGCCTTCGCGATCGTCTGGTGAAGCGCTGCTGAGATCTTGATCGGCTGATCCTGCCGGTCGGGCTCCGCGTCCTTCAAGCACTTGAGCAGGCCGCCCATGGCCCAGACGTCGGGCGGATCGAGCTCGTGGTTCTTGCTGTTCTTCGCAGTCTCAGTGCACATCGAGGTTTGTTCATGCATGGCCAAGACGATGGGCGATCCCTCTGGCGCGAGGAAGACGCCGAAGAGGGCTCTCTGCAGCTCGCGTATCTGTTGCGCGCTGCGCATGGTCTGGCGCAGCATCAAGCTCATCACCTGCTTCTTGCCGCCCTGCCAGCCCGTGGCCTCGGCGAGCCTGGCGCCCTTCTTGCCGTCCCCCGCTGGTCGTTGGCGCACTTGACGCACGTGCGGCGGCGGAGCCCCTCCTCCGGTGCGCGAGGGCGTCGCGGGCATCCGCCGCCTGGCGAGGACGCGCTGGTCGCGGCACTACCAGCCGCGGGAGAAGAAGAGGGCGGTGTTCCACCCTCAAGTGGCAGTGGAATGCGGTGATTGATCCAAAAGGGGGTCAGTCGCATAGTTTGCATGATAATGACGAAGATGGTTGAAGCTTCCATGTCGCGTGAGCGTCCCAGCTGGCACCTTACATGTACATACGCCCTCTTTAAATGATGTTGAGAAGTGCAGATGTCGCGAAAGACCGAGTTGCAAATTTGGACACTGGTTTAGGATAATACCAGAGGCTAGAACAGAACGAATGCCATGATGAGCTGTCTGATCAGCAAGTAGTTGTTGATACGTGTGAAAATCAAGAACGCAACTCTGTTTATCAGTTCCAAGAATACTGCAAGTATAACGTCCCTTAGTGGAAGGGGAGCGCACAGCTAGAATCTACCTTGCCGAATAGTCTGTCCCACTGCTTCTGATCGGTAAAAGCCGCTGAGCGAAGACTGCAAGGGTCGATCTGTAGTAGTTCATATGCCGAGTCCGAGTTCGCCGTGAAAAGCTCCTTCCATGAACAGCCCGTGATATCCCAGGCCTCGAAGAATGTTTCGGTGCCGCTGATGTCGCGATGCTGGTGTAAATCGTGACTAAACTGGCGGATCCAAGGATTGGCCGAACCACTCAATGTGCCTGACGGGGTCAACGTGGGTGGCTCGTTCATAATATGCCCTAGTAGCACCGAAAAGGTCGGAATATGTGCTTGCGTGTGCTGCATCATATTTTGGAGCCATCGAACCCGTCGGATTGCGAGTCCGCCTGCGCTCGGCAGGATCTGCCAAGCCTGCAACACCTCGGCGTTACTCTTCGATGCTGCGCGCGTGCCTCCCCATTCCGTGGCCAAGCCTTTCATCAAGACTCGGAGGTAGCGAGCGACGAAGGCGTTGATGCGCGCGTGCTCCGACGGGGCGATGGCGAAGGCCCCAAGCCCCGTGAGGCCCTTCTCCACGACGGCGCTCAAAAACAATCCACGTTTAGGCCGACGGAGACCCCTTTCGTGTCAGAAATGCCCCATCATACTCCATCCTCTTCTCATCCCCATTCACTCATATCTCAACCTACCACGCTGTTGTTGCCCTTCATGGTGTAGCGTGCTCCCAAGTGTCGCGCGCGTGCCTTAACATGTCCTTCAGTATTCGGGCAGAGGTCGTGCAACTGACGGTTAAGTAAAGTGCAGCCAAGGAGGGGGATGATGTCCTTCTTGCTCATAGTCTGGGAACAACTCCATTTGGCAAGGATGCGATTCATGGCGGCGTCGCTTTCTGTTGTGTGTGTGATGACTTCCTCCTGTACTGTAAGACCTCGTGGGAGTACTCGTTTACGAAATACAGCATCAACAAAACAAGATAATGAGACGTCAATGCCGGGCTCGTGTATGTCGCCCGCGAGAACCTCACAATGCGCCAAGATGGAGGTGTGTGTGGGGTCCGACCTCAACTCCTCAACCGTTTCGTGAAAACAAAAAAAACACGATTTTTCTGCATCTCGCAGGACCCCTGGAAGCCCCCGTTCCTGGTAAGAAAGAAGTGACTGTCCTGGTTGATCTCTAAGCTGACGACTCCATTTAGAACGCGTTGGTCAGCAGAGGCCTGGAACACAGGGCGGACCACTCGCTCACTGACTGCAATGGGAGATCCCGAACTAGGGCACATGAACGCGGTGCTGAGGTCGTGTAGTTCGTTGAAGCGGGGAACTGCTAGGCGTCTAAGTGCGTGTCCTACTCTTTGTTGAACTAGTACGCCCCCCCCCCCCCCCCCTACGCCTGCGTCGTAGGAAACCGCGCCACCAGCCTGGGAAGTTCTCGTCGTGGCATTTTGCCTCCGAACTCCAACTGTACATAACTGCGTGCCAATATTCCCACAACGCGTCAAGCAAGTGCATGACGCGAGCGCTTTGCATAGTTGCCTTGTTGTTGCTTTTGTCTAAGAAGGCGCCCTCAGTGATAGTAGCTTTAGTAGGTAGTTGTTCCATGCGCATGCTGTGGATCAAGATTTCAACAAATTCCTGCCGTGGTCGAAAGAAGTCATTGGTCATCGTTAGCCTGTTTAGCCGTCCGCCCCTCGCTCGCGTCGACGCCTGTTGGTCCTGATCATTCTCTCTATGGGGAAGAACGTGCGCAGCGGATGCGAACGACATCTCCTCCTCCTCGTCTTTCTCTCCGACAGCGGGGAAAAACCATCCCCCTCGGGGACCTCCGTGGCGGGTTTGAAGACAACGGGACGGGGGGGGGGGGCCTCTGTGGGTATTTCTCGAGAACCATCTGCAACAGTATCGTGCCCCAGCCCAAAGAAACTCGAACGGGTCTTAGAAAGATGGCCAGGGTCCAAGACGACGAGCGCGACCTCCACACGGCTTTTTTTTGCACGACGTAGTTGGTCGACAAGTCTGTTTACAGCTGTTTCGGCTAATTGTTCCATGTGGGTACTGCGGGTAAGAACGCCAGCGATAGGGGGAACCTCCAAGAACTCGGCTAACTTGGCCTGGTTATCCTCCATGTACTCCGCCCCCATGCCCCCTTCCGCTCCCTTCCTCGAAATCGACTCCTCCAACACCTGGAAATAGGGGGGTGAAGCTAGATATGTGGTTGTACCTCCTCCTCTTCGCCCCCGTCGATCTCCCGGCGAGGGCGCGGGCAAGCCGGTGCACCTCCGCAGGATGTCCCAGGCGGCGAGCTTCGCGAAGGTCCTGATAGACCTGCCCACTTTTCCTGGCACGTGTTCGGCGAAAGAGCTGTCGAAGAAGCCCGCTGATTCTTCTTATGATCCTAAGACATTCAAGATGAGCTTCAGAATAGCAAGGAAGAAAACCGAAAGCAGCCCAGTTTGTATGCGCCTCCCAGCGCTGACGAAAACGCTCTCGTACAAGTGCCAGACGCTCACGCCTAAGAACACGGTATGCATCATGCTGTGGTATGGGTGCGCGCTCGAAGTGCTTGCGTGCCGTGTCTTGTACAATCTGGATCCAATGGTCGTAGTGCCTATCCGTGTGCGCGTCGTCCTGGCATGCCGGAAAAGTACGAGCCGCGTCTGCAAAAGCGCGCCTCGAGTTCCATGTGCAATTTTGTCCGATTGTTCCCTCCCTGCAAGGCCTCCGATAGCATCTGATAATCCCATCGAAAGTTAAGAGGGTCAGGCATCGTGACAGACATAGCGTACTCCACTTCCATGTAGACAGGCAGGTGGTCTCGAGGGGGTGCGCTGGGGATTAACTGTAACTCGCGCCCAATCTTCCAAGCCACGTGACATCGCCTAACCCCTGGAACGAGGCCGCGAGGTAACAAGAACATATCAATAGTATTCGTCTCCCCCTTGACCCCGTAGTAAGTCGGACCTGCATCCCGAGGAAAAGGTACATGGAGCTGCTAGGTCCAAGGCCATAACAAGGTCGGCGACGAGGGTGCCCCCCAAGCCCTGGCGACCAACATGATAGGGCCCGATATGTTCGCCTGCTTCGTCTCTGGCCAGGCCGTCCGAGGAGAGACCGAACCCAGAGTTAATGTCCATGCCTACAACAACCGTGCTGCGTGCGCTGACCTGTTCCAAGCGTGCGCGTAGGTGTGCATGAGTGCTGCGTTCCGCTTGCATATGTGCGCGCCTTGTTTGTCCAGATTCATAGAGAGGTGGTGGGTAAACCGTGACCAGCGTAAGATCAAGTCCAGGGCCTTTAATACGTACCTCGCCGTACCTGCCTAATACGTTCGAGGGGCCAGCCTGGATGTGCTTAGCGTAAATAAGATGGAGACGCCTGCCGAGTATAATGCAGCAGCCCGCGCTCGAGTTCGTATGTGGTGCTCGACTCCGTCCAAGGTGTATTGCAACACGGCGTGAGCTCAGTCGTTCAACGTGGTATGTGCGTCCTACCCATTCTCTTACGCATGTGTCTTGCATGCATATGACGTCAACATCTAGGTGCGAGGCGACCTCTTCTATTCTAACAGGCGGTACCAAGCTAAGCGGGTTGTACGTGACAAACTTTAGAATCATGATGATGAAGAACAAGGGGGCAATGAAAACCAGGGAAAACGTGTGCCCCCCACGCGCGTCGCCTGCACGCATCGGAGACCTGACCCAGCCAGGGGCAGGTAAAGCGGGAGGTGGTGTGGAACGCGCAATCGCCTCAACGGTGTGTTCGGCACGTGTGTTTGAGGCTATGAGGAGGAAGAGGAGGAGGAGGAGGAGGAGGAGGAGGAGGAGGAGGAGGAGGAGGAGGAGAATGAGGAGGAGGAGGAGGTGAGGAGGAGGAGATAGGAGATGGAGAGAGGGATGCAGTAGGGATGAGGAGGGGGAGGGGGAGGAGAGGAGGATGAGGGGGGAGAGAGGTGGAAGAGGAGAAGAGGGAAGAGGAGAGGGAGGAGGAGGGAGGAGGGAAAAACAGGAGGAGGAGGAAAGAGGAGGAGGAGGAGGAGGAGTGGAGGAGTGGTAGGGAGGGGAGGAGGGAGGAGGAGGAGGAGGAGGAGAGGAGATGGAGGAGGAGCAGTTGCAGGAGGAGGAGCAGGAGGAGGATGAGGAGGAGGAGGGAGAGGAGGATGGGGGAGGAGGAGGAGGAGCAGGAGGACGGGGAGGAGGAGGAGGAGGAGGAGGAGGAGGAGGAGGAGGGGGAGGAGGAGGAGGGGGAGGAGGAGGAGCAGGCGGACGGGTAGGAGGAGAGGGAGGAGGAGGAGGAGGGGGAGGAGGAGGAGGGGGAGGAGGAGGAGGAGGGCAGCCATTGGCCAGGCCACGCCCGAGCGGCACGAGACACCGCGCGCGGGGCGGGGCCCCGCCAGAGGCCGGCCGCCCCCGCGGCAGCGGGCGCGCCCGCCAGGCCGTGAGAGCGAAGCGACGGCGAAGCGGCGGCGCAGGGCGGACGGGCAGACACTCACGCGCCCCCCCCCTTCGGGGGCAGCTCATGGGAGCCTGCCACACCACCTCGTCGGCTCTTGCGACTCGACGCTCGTCGACGCTACATCGACGCTAATCGACGCTAGTCGAGGCGAACCGTCGCCGAGTCGGCGCTATCTCATCGACTCCCAGACTCGAATCGACGCTATCGCACTCGAAAGACGGAATTCAAAGGATACACCATGCTCCCATGATTTGCTACCGAACCCCTCCCCATGAGATCGCGGCGTTGCTTTCTGTTGTGCAACGGGCGCTTTCGCGTTTTTTCCTCGGGCCCGGGGAGCCTCACACATCGATCTGGCTCGAAAAAAAGATGCAGAAATCGGAGATCTACTGACCTGGGTCAATCCAGACCAGGGTCAGTCAGCCTGTGCAGGATCCGGCCTGACGAAACCTGCACCCAAATCCAGGCCAGTGCAACCCTGACTCTGCAGGATCCTGCAAGATCTGGCGCTCTGGTTGACCCCCGTTTGCATTGACCCCCGTCTCTTGAGCCCCGAAGAGAAGTGGGGTCTAGGGCTCCGGGTGCAATGTGTTAAGAGGCTGCAACTTGAGCAGCGTCGAACCTCAGGGCCTCCCGAAGCCTCCCCGAGGGGCCCTATCTTAGCACCCCCCCTTCAGCATGTTCCCCGTGGCCTCAAGGAAGCTGATGTTGCTGGCCGCCATGTACCTGAGTCCAAAAGCACAAGGCGGACATAGCGTCTGCGGACAATGAGATGTATGTTGTCGTCAACACACATATACATACATAGTGGTATACACATATCTACATCGAGAGATAGAGAGAGACAGTAAACACATGAACAACCTATAGAGAGACAAATACACAGATAGAGAGATACAGAGAAACAACAGAGATAATACAACAGACGCAGCGAGGGAGAAAGAGAGAGAGAGAGAGAGAAATAACAAACAAAACACACACACACACATTCCAAAACGGGTCACTAAACGTTATGAGATAAGCGTCTCGGTTTCTGCAAACTGCTCAACTCACTGGACGTATGGGGCGTGATGCAATGAACTTTGCTTTTTGGGACATTCTGCGCGTCATGGACAGAACTGCCGCTAGAACAACTACCCCAATCAATCCTCGGCCTCTGACCGACCCTCTGGCCAACCCCAGCCAACTTTGGGCAACCCTCCCAGCCAAAACGTGTGGTTCAACCGTGGCTAGGGCAACTTGATCGATGGGTTGTTGCATATATCCGCGACTGCTTCTTGAAGTGCACACGGAGTCGATTGAGAAGCAATATCCATAATCTGAACACACCTGCTCATGGAAACGCAAACGGTACCAGGTGACAGACACGATAAGCGTGGACCGCGGCGCGCGCGATGCAACCTGACAGCGCGCGCGCCTTCCAGGGACGGTGCGAAAAGCGTCATTGGCGCGAAAGGTCACGCTGGTCCGAGTCATGCAACCCTCGACAGACATGCGCCAGCTGGTGATGAAACGTGCTATATGATGAACGTGGCACGACCGCGATGATAGGGCTCTCTCCAGTACAGGGGTTGAAGCGAACTAAATCATACTGAAGCCAAGCTGATGTACACAAAAACAACATGCAGCAATCACTTTCCATGCCCCATGGTTCAAAACTGGATTGCACCGCTCTGCTCAGAGCTTTGTTGCGTTAGTGCGTCTGGTGCGGCGCGTTGCAATGTATTGTGTTGATACTTCTCGTTTGGCAAAGCGTCGCACCGCGTTGTTGTGAGCTGTGTTGTTAGGACCTGCGTGGGGTGCGTTGAATTATTGTGAGGTCGTGTGATACAGGCTGGTGCGACGTGTATTACGTTGCGCTGTATTGCATGGGACCGCTACATGTTCAACGCACCGCGTTGCAGCGACATGTATTGTTTCAAATGCCACTGCATGCTTTGTTATGCATTGCATTGCGGTGTCTGCTTGTCCAAATTTCGGGGGGGGGACCTTGAGGAACGAGGGGGGGGTTCCCCGACGACCTGGGGAACGGACCTGCCACATGATGTCATTGCAATGGCCCGTCGTGCCAAACAAAAAAAAACCTGACGCGTCCCCGGGTAAGCGTTCGCCTTGAATGTGGACTGGCTTTAATATAGCATCAACCAACGGACAATATGTGGACATTAGAAGGAGACTACACTCAAACCGGGCAGCCACATCATAACACTAGTTCCTGCAATTAGATGATGATCCATATGTTTCGGCCTGCTTGGCCTGGCAACGCAACGCCTTGAATTGCATGGCGTTGCGTTGATGTTGTGGTACGTGGTTTGTACTGACTTGCTTGAACCTGGTCTGTATTACTGCGCCGGTTGGTCTACGCGCCATTCATGTTTGTGCGTTGCGTCTAATGGCCTTGCTTTGCGCTGTAGTGTTGCACGCTGCGCTGCCTGATAAACCGTTGTAGTGCGTTGCGTTCCCCGTCTCAAATTTGCATGCGAACTTGCCATTGCATTATCTACCGTTGCGTTGCTTCTCGGGGCGAAACATTGTCGAGTAGTCGGGGGGGCTCGCCACGATGACCTGGGGTTTCCTTGCCAATCTCGGCTTCGGATTCCGATCGCACCAAGCAGCCGGGCACCTTACGCGAAGACATTCAATGGGGCCCCGGAGGCGAAGCACAATTGGGGAGAGTTTTGAGCAGCAGCGCTCACAATAAACCAAGTCGACGGTCCCTTCCTCCATGTTGTGCGCGGTGCGAACATGAACAATGTTTAAGACAGGTTCTTCCCGATCAGCACCTATCACTGACTATCGATATCCCAGTTCGCCTCCATTTGCGCTCGCTCGTGCCAGTTGCCGCTCATTGGCACCTATGACTGTCTACAGGCGCCGATTTGCGACCAGTCATAAGCAATCGTCGGTCTCTGGCGCGACGACGCTCGACACCGAAACCACCCAATACGGGAGAACGGCACCCAATCGATATTGGGTGAGGCCGCGGCGGAACGTCCCCGAGCCGAAACGCCGATCCGCCACGTCAACCGACGCTGGGCAGGGAACTGGCACAAACACATGGAAACCGAACCCCCTCTCGAGGGTGGTGGGTGGGAAGACAAACGAACTGCGACCGCGGTCGCGTCCAACGCGCCATGGCAAATGGACGCGCCGCGCGTCGCCCCCCCACAGAAGTGGACCAAAACTGCGCCACGGCAAACAGAAAACAACACATTGGGTGGACGCCCTGCCCATTGACTGCCACGGTGGGCAGGTAAGGCGCCGCAGACATGACCGGGCACTTGACATCCCGCCCCGTGGCCAAGCGGCGGAATGGAGACATTGCGACCGTGCTCGGAGAGGGGACGGGCGAGAGAGGGGACCGACGCACGGCCGCGCGGCATGCCCGCAAACCCGCGCTGGAGCCTGGCCCGCCCGACGGAGCGGCGGCGCGCGGCGGGTGGTCACGCGACCGCCCGCCGTCGCGCGTTGCGACGCCGGCGGGGCACTTTCCACCTGGTCAGTCGACATATGACTTGCAATAACAATTTATACCGCCTTATAAATGTGAATTCCCGTGGACGGCAACAACTCATGCTTCAAATGGACTCTCACGCACAACACATACATAATTCATGAGCCAGTTGGGCTTGGAATTTCACGCTCGCCGCAGCAATTAAAACCACAAACCCGCGCAATTGGCGTCCCAATTTGAGCATTGCCTTGCATACGCGATTTGGTCCTGCCGAAGCCCGAGCCACGGGCAAGCGCTGGTAAACAATGCGTTCCAAGCCTTGAATACGGCAGGTCTGTACCGTGACGACCCCAGGACTGGCTCCTGAAACCGCGAAGATCGTTCCAGGTTGGGCCGATTCTGGGTCACTGTCAGAGTTAAACCTTGAACACCCGCGGCAGGGTCGCCGCCGCGTGGACACAACACGAACCTACCGACACCGAATCCAAGATGACATCGCATCGTCTCGCCACGCACGAATTTAGATGCGTCGGGCCTGATGGAAAACGGCCACAGGTCGCACCCGCCGTCGTCAGTTGGCCCGTGCGACGATGCCGATGACAGGTGGACGGCGGACGGGCGGGCAGGAAAAGGCACGCACGCGGGACAGAGGATCCAGCAGGAGCAGGGAGACTTCGACGGGGCGCACGTGTAGATCGACATGCCGATGGTGCCCGAGAAGAAGCTGAAGAATATAACCTGCCGATGACCCAGGTGCTCTCCGCTCTCCCCGCCTCAGTCCTGCTGCGCAACAATAATCAATGGGGCTCACCACCATCATGGTTGCCAATGTTGACCCTGAACAGTAATGGTTTACGCTTCGCGAGTCACCACCAGCCCAGTCAAAAGCAGCCGCTCGAAAAAAGGTGCGCTGACCGTAGGGTGTTTTCTCTTCCTTCTCCCTCAATTTGGCTTCTTTCTTCCATCCTCATCTCTTTTTCCTCGTCCTCGTTGCTCCTTCGCTTCGTCCTCCTCCTCCTCCTCCTCCTGGCGTTGCCGTGCGATCTTGGGGCCCTCTTGGGATCTCAGGGAATCGTGGCCCTGGGGCTCTCTTGGGGCTCTCTCGGGGCTCCTTTGGGAGTCTTGAAACCCTCTCGGGGCTCTTTGTGGGAGTTTGGGAGGTCTCTTGGGGCCATCTTGGAGGCCATCGGGCAAAGAAGGAGAGAGCAGTTATTGGTGTACCCCCGTCGGGGCCCGAAATATCGCCTCTTGGAGCCCTCTTGGGCAGCTCTTGGGCGCCTGTTGGGAGCTCTTGGGGCCGTCTTGGGGCCCCCTTGGGCCGTATTGGCAGCCTCTTGGGCCGCCTTGGGGCCCTCTTGGCCCGTCTTGGAGCCGTCTTGGGAGCCTCTTGGGCCGTCTTGGGGCGGTATTGCGGGCCTTTTGGTCCGTCTTGGAGCGTCGGGAAGCCGAAAGGGCGGGAACGCTAAAATGTTTGAAATACTTAAGGAAAACATATGAGTTTGGCCTCGTGGGGCCCTCGTAAGGCGCTTCTCGGGACTCTCTTGGAGCGTGTTGGGGGCCGCTCTTGGGCCGTCTTGGCCTCTCGTGGGCGTCCTTGGAAGGTTCCGCGGCCACTTGGAGCCGTCTTGGGGCGGTCTTGGAGCCTCTTGGGGCTCTCTTGGGCCGCTCTTGGGCGCCACTTGGGCGCTCTTGGGGCCGTCTTGGGGCCCTCTTGGGCCGTATTGGCCGCCGCTTGGGCGGTCTTGGGCCCCCTTGGGCCGTCTTGGAACCGTCTTGGGAGCCTGTTGGGCCGCCTTGGGGCGGTCTTGCATGCCTTTTGGGCTGTCCTGGAGCGTCGGGAAGCCGAAAGGGCGGGAACGCTAAAATGTTTGAAACGCCCGCGGAAAATATATGGTGTTGGCTTCTTGGAGCCCTCCTAGGGCGCCTCTCGGGACTCTCTTGGAGCGTCTTGGGGACCTCTTGGGCCGTCTTAGCTTCTCGGGGGCGTTCTCGGGAGGCTCCGCGGCCACTTGGAGCCGTGTTGTGGCGGTCTTGGAGCCGTTTGGGGGCCCTCTTGGGCCGTACTGGCCGCCGCTTGGGCAGTCTTGGGGCCCTCTTGGGCCGTGTTGGGGCCGTCTTGGGAGCGCTCTTGGGGGCCTTGGGAGCGCTCTTGGGGCCATTTTGGAGGAGATCGGTCAAAGAAGACGAAAGCACTTATTTGCTCCCCCCCCTGGGGCCAGGATCCCTGTGAGGGGTGTCAGAAATGAGCTCCCCAGAGACCGACAAAGGACGCCCCGGCGACCCGCGCCCCCCCCTTCCCCTCTCCAGGCCCAGGGGGAGGGGGTAGGGGGAGGG